TTTCCACTCAGCGGTGCAATTTTGCGAGCGGGCGGAATTTGGCGATCGCTTTCTCTTGAAATGTACGCAGTCAACCACATCTAATGAAATTCGTTCCACTTCACAACACGTATTTAAAAAGGAAGCGATCGCAAGATTCCTCTCGCATGCAAAATCGCACCAAATGGAAATCGGCCATAAAAATTCTTTCGTGTGTGTATCCGTTACATGCCATATTTGGCATACAGCCTTTGAGATTCCTTAGATTTCCTCCAATGGTAACAGTAGGCAATTATATAGCGAATGGTTCTCTCTGAACCACAAAACCAATCAGTCAAGAAATGTAAGGGTTTTGGTATAAATAAAGTTAGTTGTTTAAATGCATAGACGATTGCTTGCCATAATACACGATGTTGATGAGTTCAACTCTTCATTAATAAGATGAAGCACGCATTTTTCTTGGGCCACCTGCTTGTCTTAGTGTGAAATTACGCTATAATATCAAGACTGTTAATATCTGTCAAAATTATCCATCAATTATCATCAGTACTTTCACATCAGTGCTTATAATATATGATCACCAATTTTCAAACATCAACCGTAATGCGACAATTCAAGTGATATTCATGATTACTCGATCGGATAAAAATTTCGGAGATATTTTGCCACAAATCTGTAAGAAAATACGAATTTTAAAAACATGGCTGAAATAATAGAAAATTCAGGAAAATAACAATTTTAAATGCTTGGATATTAAAGTCGTACAAAGACAAAATTCACTGTTCCGTTGTATTCAAAGATGCTTCATTTCGTGGAATATAATATGCTGAATACATATACCTGTTTCACCAGTTATTAGTTTGCACTTTTGGAAAACAAATTAGGTACAAACCAATGAACTTTCGTGTAAGCTGCATTTGTATTGCAAATTGTCTTTTAAAATGATTCCTCATATGCTCGCGGCCTCTGCAATATATACACAAACTTCTAATTGAAGTATCATGCATACTTTAAGTGCCGCACATCTCCGTTGTTTTCACATTCAATTCATCAAACGAGGATGGAACTTCATTACCTTGTCAACTTGATGCTCATATTTGCTGTCAACGTATTCTTTTTTCTCTTAGGAATATGTTTAAATTCCTTGGTCATACTCAGTTTCTGGAGATCTGTGCAACTGCGGAAAAAATTATGTTATTTCATGATAATGGTTTTGTCCTGTTGCGATTTGCTTTCGATTTTAGCAATTCATCCATTGATGACTCTTCTGCCGATGTTGTGGTTGACCGGAACGATTAAAATGCGCCCCGACTGGGTGGGTACTTACTTATGGACATCAGATATATTCCTTACGATTTCTTTCCGCGCTCTTTTGGTGCTGGATTTTGAACGATATTTGGCGACATATTATCCTCTCTTTCATCGAACATCGGTAACAAGAGGAAGACTTTCAACTCTTCTTGCAACAATGATTTTTCTCTTACTGACTTTGTGGTTGTCTGTGAACGAAAACGTCATTTCCTATAAAATATATCTTTTGACTGAGCTCTTTACCATCGTTCCTATGATGCTGTTTACTAATTTCAAATTGTTTATAATTGCAAGAAAAAACCGTAGAAGCAACAGAATATCGCCCCAAACGCAAAGGTCTTCGTCGATTTCTTCAAAACATATATCGAGTTGCTTACTGGCACTCCTGTGTGTAATAGTACTGTCCATTCCATTGTTAGTCTACATTGTTCTTAAGTTATACTCGAAAGAAACAAAGACGTTTGATAATGTAAAACTAGCAGGGTACTGGGCTAAAACCATACTCGCACTCAGCAGTACACTTAACTCTTTGATCTTCTACTGGAAGAACAACATTTTGCGCGCGGAGGGATTAAAAGTTATCAAAGGAATAAAACTGTATCGGCCTTTCCCATCCCAGGCGGACAACTAAGTATACCTTTTACCAACTTTTAAATCGTTGGAATTTTGACAGCCCTGGCTTCTTCTGAACGAACCACCATCGGCATAAACCAACTTGCTTTTGTTTTCCTTCTCTGTTGTTTTCATTGGTCAGCTGGCTATCAAAGAAGGAACCTTACCATATCGTAAAGAACATGTTAGAATTGACTGACGTACTAAGTTTAACTAAAGTTAAACCGACATATTTGTCTGTTATAGTCTATAAGTTCAAATACATATGACATTGAAAAACTGTGTATGGTACACAACGAAATAACTGTTGAAACTGTAAAGGTAACTTATTTTAGGAATTTCATTTTGAATCCGACATAAGGGACCGGTCATTATTTACAGGGGGGGGGGGCGGTGGAAATGAAAAATTAGATGCTAAAATTTTGTTGCCCCCCCCCCTTGAGGATAACACAATTATATTTGACCCCCCCCCCATTCGTAATTTAAAATTCTTATAAAGTGAAGCCACATTTAATCATACTACCCTGTCATAGTTGCCAACTTTGGAAAAAAACATCTGTGAGATTTTGCTTTGGGGGACCAACGGGCCACGCCATAGTTGGCGCCGAGCAGAAAATTTTTGAAAATATGGAGTCTCTAGATCGTTGGAAATGGCATTTTCAGAGTCTTCTATACCTTATACACACAACTTTTGGTAGCTTTTATTTAGATATACAAAACCATATTGTTGAACACCCACGAGGTTGCATGAAGTGATGTTTTGATTATCTATTTTTGGCTTAATGGCGTGATTTTTCCAGAAGAAAAGGTTTTATGTAATTTGACGCAAATGAAGTCACTCTTAATAGTTAAAATGTGCAACAAAGCCAACATATTTAAGAACCAGTTGGGTTATTTTCGAAATCTGTAAGATATTAACAAGCTGTGAGCTCACCGTGAGGTTTTAGCGGAGGAATGGCGAGGAAGATCAAGGATAAGGATAATATGATATTTATTGAGTCAACAGCTGTTCCAATGTACATGTTTATGTTGAAATCAGTTTATGTTGAAATCAGTTTAGTAAATGGTGTTGTGTTGGAGTTTACTACAGTTCTACTGCTCACGGGGTCATGCGGGGCAGGTATTTATATTGCACAAAATTTTTTGCCCCCCCCTCCCTTAAAAATATCTGACCCCCCTCTTTTTTCAACAGCCCCCCCCCCCCTATAATTAATGACCGGTCCCTAAACTGTTTAGTGTATTGAACGAAATAATTGTTAAACTTGTTAAGGTATATAGCGTCGTTTATATGTAATATATGAACAACGAGAGCGAGTGTTTCACCGGGATATCCAAACACGAGAAAACAATGTATGAAAACACTAGCGCGAAGCGCGAGTGTTTTCATACATTGTTTTCGAGTGTTTGGATATCCCGGTGAGACACGAGCTCGAGTTGTTTATATGGCTTCTCAAATGAATCGAGACGTAACAGAATGTTTTCGTTTGCTGATTTGCATAGAATTCTTAACCAAGCATAACGTAATTAGGAATTCTATTCAAGTAATTTTGCATGCCTAATTAAGATATTTGATGAAAACACTAGTGACTTTCATCAAGTATCCAAATGGCATCTTGTGATCAAATAAGTGATTATCATTGGCTAATTTACTCATGAATTATTAATGAATTTGAGAAGTAATATATGAACAACGAGAGCGAGTGTTTCACTGGGATATCCAAACACGAGAAAACAATGTACGAGACGTAACAGAATGTTTTCCTTTGCTGATTTGAATAGAATTCTTAACCAAGCATAACGTAATTAGGAATTCTATTCAAATAATTTTGCATGTATAATTAAGATATCTGATGAAAACACTAGTGACTTTCATCAAGTATCCAAATGGCATCTTGTGATCAAATTGGTGATTAACTGATTATCATTGGCTGAATTACTCATGAATTATTAATGAATTTGAGAAATTTTAATCTCAGATTTCATTTTCTTTAAAAAGCAATGCAACTAACTTGACTTGCAATTGACAACATTATACACAACGTCGCAGTTAACATCCTATATGTCTACGCTAGTTTCAAAATGTATAACGTCTACAAGTTGGTTGCATTATGTTTTTAAAGAAAACCAAACATCTCAATAACGAAACATAAAGATTAAATTCCACGAAAGACATGACTCTACCGTTCAGACTGATTTTTACTCAGCGTTGCAATTTTGCGAGCGGGCGGAATTTGGCGATCGCTTTCTTTTGAAATACTCCTGGTTGTTTGGCTCTAGATAAAACCGCTAATAAGTATCGTACAAATTGAGATATCTATAGCAACAAAATGTTTTTAAAGAATATCACGGCAAGGTTTTCCCCAACATGCAGACATGCAGTCGGGATAGTTTTTGCTATTTGTTTGAAGTGAATGCATGTTTCGGAGTTAACTTAATTTTAACAAATTTGTCCATGTATATGTTTGACACAGTAAAATAATAAAGGAATCCTACCTTTTACGTTAAACACAAAATTTTGTTCTTCTTTCGTTTTCAGGGGACGTTTTTCAATATTTCGTCGATTTTGAAACCAAATTTGCCGAATCAGTCTTTTTGAAAAGCATTATTTACTAGTCTGCATGCTAGTAAATAATGCGTCAGATTTACTGGTTACTCACTTTCCTTGTGGTTGCTTGAGCACTCCGGCCCCATACCCATAGAAATGATAGATACCTATTATTTCCATGGCTGTACCACATGCGCCTGTGAGAGCAAGTTGCATGTATATAAATATGAAAGTCATCGCGTGTTTAGATGTGTAGCAAGCTGCGCTGATGAGGAGTAGGACGCCGAAACACGCATGTCTGCATACTGTATTGTACCATGTATATATATGAAAGTGTTATGTTATGTTGCGTTATTGTTCGATGCTGAATTAATATAAACGATCGAGTATGTTTATAGGACATTCAGTATATATAGTTCATAATTTCCAGTGTAGCTCAGTTGCTAGAGCAACGATCTAGTAATTCGAAGGTCGCGGGTTCGAAACCCAGCCGCGGCGGGCAAAGTTTTCTGCTTGCGCGCGGGCTGGAAAATAATAAAATACTCACTCGATAACATTTTCTCCTTATATATATTACTCCAATATTCAGGTTTTCAAGATAATTCAAAATTTCAACTGAGAGCTAGCTCGCTTTAGTTTTAGAATTAATGTTCTAGGGCTAGGTGCACGTAAAATTCGACTCTCCCGTGTGCCGTTGCCCTCAACCGTGAAGAATAAACTCCCTTTTGGCAGCATGTAAGCGAACATGTAAGTCCCCAAAACAAAACATCATTTCCGATTGTGGTACGGTTGTTTGCCCAAACCTGTGAAGATTGATTCAGCACATTGGGACGCAGAATCTCTCGACAGTCCACCTCTCTGCTCCTCGAGAAGACTACTCTGGGACAATTTGAATTTTCAGTAAATCACTGAAAAATGAGCCAGCATTATCCCCTCCGCCAAATACCAAAATTTCTTCTTCTTTACTGGTGCCTTCCTTGAGAAACATCACGTGACCGACACGAGGAGAGATCTCAGGACGTGCAATAACTTTTATCCACGTTAGTTTATCTGAAATACACACAATTGTCAAGCGAATACAATGGATGATTCCGGTTATAGACTAAATTTTGATCTAGGCAAGAAGAACACAATCCATCACCACAGCTACAAAGAGCATGTCAAAATTTGTAAAATTGCAAAGTTTGGTTGCGAAATGTTGTAAAATGAGGAAAATATAGCCCTGCGAAATTTGCAAATTTTCCTCCCGGCTATTTCCCGGAATCGAAAGCATTAGCGAAATCTAGAGTTCATCAATCATCGCGGGCGCTAACCAACGATGGGTGGTCATCCTTACTGATCTCAAAAATATGGCTGATTGCTTGTAGGAGTGGGTAAGCAAGATTTCAAGTTTTAAAAGACATATATTTGGAAAATCGCTTCATATACAACAAGCTTGAAGCAATTTTGTTTGAAGAAATGAGAAGAATTGATTTACTACGGGAAATCGTGAAATATACGGCAAGTTTAATGTTTACGAATTTTGATACTTTAACTTTTTGCCTAAAAACATGAACTGTCTTCCTTTTCAACGAAGCTCTAAGTTTCATAAATTACCGTTTAATTTGAGAAAATATCTCAAAATGTAAAGACGAACAAATTGATTTGAAGACTGAACTGAAATTACCCAACAATTTGTTTTATTTGTATTAAACTTATCATGTTTTGTTAAGTAAAAACAGTTTATCGGCAAAATGTAGTTTACTTGAATGAACATTTCAAAACATTTTACGAAGCCTTTGAAGTTAAATTTTACATTAAATCAAAGCTCACAAAATGCAAAATAATATACCGACAGTATATATTTCGGAAATTTATTGTTGTATAGTTAATAAAAGTACGAATCTTTCAACTATTTTGCAGTTTTGTACAAAAAATATGAAAATAAAAATTTAAGAATATCGTGTTGTCATGGCAACACTTGAGCGCGAGCCTGCGTTCACTGTTGGTCATTTCTGAATACTTCATGTTAAATGTTTGGAAAATATTGGCGAGGGGTTACTGCATGCATGTATTTCTAGTATTAATTTGTATTACGCATGACGGGAAAATGCACCACTTTCGGCCCAAATGTGGTGCATTTTCTCGCGCGTAATACAAATTAGCAGAGAAGATAGCATTTTCCTTCAAAAAGGGAATATATAATTTCGCTCATACTACGTGTGTCCTATACTACTTACCAATATCAAAGATGAATGAATCGCCAAGGACTTTATTAGACGCTCCATCAAACCCACCATGGATCAAAAGACGACCTCCTTCGAGAAGTGATGAAGAATGCCAACTCCGGGCTGTTGGTTTTTGACCATTCACTTCTGGACGCGAATATTCCATAAGAACTATAAAACAATGCTAAATCAACACTGCAAGTTCTTCTTATGTACTGAACTATAGTAAGCCGTAGAACACAGAATTACCATAAAATATAATATTTAATGTGTTTAAAAAAAATGTGGACTAGATTGGATTTCATACTATATTTAAGACGACAATCTTTTGTATGTTACGTAACACGCGCTTAAAACTAATGAAACTTTTCCACTTGGTTAAGACTTTATTCGATTTTCTAAATTTTTAATACGTTTCTAAAGCGGCAAACAAACTTAAAAAGTAGATTTAGACGTGATTTATCTGTAAAATAATGCTAATTAACTGAAGAGATTTTAAATGGTACGCCAAAGAGAAAATGTTGTCTGAAGTTCAGTACGTTTTGCTTATATATTGCTGTATAAACATGGCGTCAATTTTGCATCAATGATAATTGCATTTAATTGAAAGATTTTTACTATTATTTTATGCATCTCAACCAGCAAATGTACTTAAAAAGGTTGCTCATTGTGTAAACTAGAGAGTAAAGCCAAAAACAAAGTAATTAAACGACTTTGCAGATGGAAATTTGTATAGGTAATCATGCGATGTTGCTCGTCCAATTAGGGATTAATAGCACGAGTGATGTTTGGAAATTTTGCCAAAATTGGACGAGCCGCCGTACTTGTCCCCGAGCCGACGGCGCGAAGCGCCGTGCGAGGGTACTAATTCCCCCCGGCTATTTACACCCGGGGAAACGAAAGCATTAGCGAAGTCTAAAGTTCATCAAATATCGCGGGCGTGGGTGACCAACGATGGGTGGTCATCCTCACTGATCTCAAAAATATGGCGGACTGTCATGAATAGCGGACACTGATTGGTCCAATTTAAATTTTGCATTATAACGACTGGCATGAATGTATCACGACAGCGAAATAGCAAACATTTCTTGATTTGATGATTGATAAATTTCTTGCAAATATATTTCATTTTTACTCGCATTTTTGCAAGACTTTGTAAATTTCAAAAGCTCTCTCAAAATGAAACTGCGAAAGAATCGTCTAAAAGAAGGGAGCCGACGTTAACGAAGGTAAGTTTGTTTTAAATATTGATTTTATAATGGCTTTAAAACCCGACGGCCTTTGCGTATATGAAACAACTAAACAAACAGCATATAATTTTAGTGTATCTTTAATATTGATTCCCTTTTTTATGATATTGAATTTCTAAATAAAAAAGAAAGCACTGAGTTATTTGCAAGCCAGAATTTGAAATCATTTTATTGCTAACTCAAAGTTTATCGATAAAGCCATTTTAAAAGGCAGTTTAGTTTTATAATGAACACTAGTGACTTTAAAACGTTTTGCGAAGCGTTTGTGGTTGAATTTTACCTTAAATTGAGGCTTATATTACGTATAAATACATACCTAACATATATTTATGTTGGGAAATTAATAATTTTGTAATTAAAAGTGATATTTTTAGGCGATTTTTCATTTGTAAGAATATTCTTAAAAAATTATCGTGTTACCATGACAACTACTTTAGAACTTCATCAGTTCGGAAAATACAATGGTTTTGTCAGCAAGGCGAGGGTTTCTGCATGCATGTATTTTCTAGTTTATTATGAGCATGACAAAATTGGATACTTCTCAATGTCAACATCATATTCTCTCGCCAAAGCCCAGTTCTGCAAGACTTTCAACGAAAATTTTGTGCTTTTGTTCGTATTTTCATTTAGTTCGTTTGCTAAAGCAAAATTTGGTGGTTTTGTTCGTATTTCCATAAAGTTCTTCTAGGGCAATTTCATTTCACATTTGTGTTTAAAATACCTTTCCGCCATTTTGTTTGTTTTGGGAAAATGATTAATTGTACTGCAGTACAATTAATGATGGTAATAGAACGAATAGGAGTGCTATTAATGCCATAATCATACGAGTGATTACAGTACAAAATCAACCGACCGCGTAGCGGGAGGTTGATTTGTTAATCACAAGTATGATTATGGCATTAATAGCACGACTTAATTCGTTCTATTAGTTATTAATTATTTATCTTCTGTAATCAAACTGTTTGAGGGGAAAAGGCACAAAAATACAATTTGTTGAAAATCCTTCACAGAATCCTTCAATATTATTTCAATCGAGTGAGATTCCCAAAAATCCTGATATTATATTTGAGCAGTTAGTTCCAGGCTGTTCCACGCGGCAAAGCTGCAAAATCGATTGGTTGATGTAATTACAAAAAATGAAGACCCTCTAGTCAAAAGTAACCTGGCCAGTCGCCCAGATTCACAATTTTACCTTGCACAGCCTTTCATTTAAATTGACCAGACTGCAATGGGTTGAAGACGGTATATACTCAGGGCCGCCGAGAGGGGGGGGGGGCGGCAGGGGGGGTGTGGAAATTGCCCCGGGCCCCGAGTTGCTGGGGGCCTCTAAAAAATTTTTGTTGGGCCCCAGGCTTTTTTGTGTGTTAAATATTTCCGCGCAAAGGACAAGATATCTGTTCTCTTGGGCTAAGTACCGAATTTTGGCATAAAAAAATGAGATAAAGTCCCTCGAAAGCAATTGCAACGTACTCGTCCGGAAAAATTTTGTACCCCTAACCGAAATTTTTTGTACACTGACCGAAAATTTTTTGAAGAACAATTTCAATTTTACTTTTACGGTACTACCATTTTACTTCTACATGCATGAACTTCAATTTTACTACAAGTAAACTTTCGACGACATGATTGAGTTTCAAAATTAATTCAAGATTGAGCTTTTGAGATATTCGAGATTGTTGATATCAATAAAATATATTGCGTATATCTTACCCAGATCAAGTAGGTATACATCGTCAAAACATTTCGGTGCGTCCCAGCCACCAAAAATAATGGCTTTCTTTTCATCGTATAACAACAATGAATGCCTACAATTAATATAAGAAATGCAAATAACTAGTTGCGCAACAATCATAAGGGTTGCCAGGTGTTTTTATATTACCTTTGACTCGACAAAACTATAACTCAGTCACAAGGGCACAGTAATTGGCTGGAGTATAATACTAGTGCGAATGTCTTATCAACATTACCACAACTCTTATAGTTTTTATTACTAAAACCTACCCTGAGCGTGGAGAAGGGATATCACCGGTGACAATCGGCTGATACCAACTGTTTGTGTCTATAAAAATTTAAATAAAAGGATATTTCGTTGAAGGAAAAATGAAGGCATCAACCACGAGGTTGCAAGTGGTCTAGTTGTTCGACTTCCACCAATTTTCGTGGCAAATGTTTAAAGTTACATAAGAACATACGCGGTAGCATTAACCCATCAAATTTCCCTGAGTCGACTTCGATAAAGCTTCAAATGAGCGCAAGCTTTCATTTAGTTATTTTATATTGAAATTGTTCATGCAAAGTTATTCATATATGAAAGAAAGGCTCTCTCCTCCGCAGAAGCTTACATGACGTTTCTAGTGAGGGAAAAGTGAGCGCGCAAGGAATGATGGGAAGAGCTAAATAAAGGAAGCCTCTGCGAGTTAATGCAATCGATATGGCGTCGTATATAATCGTTTGTAGCGAAGTTCGCTCAACCATCGGGGGTGTTAAAACATGTTTCGACTTTCATTGTCAGGCGTACTTGAGTATCCTGGGGTGAATTCAATATATTCTTCTGTCCATTTGCATCGAAAAATATTGAGAAATTGCAAACGAATATCAATGGATACGAGCTATCTAATTATAAATATCCTCTTAATTGCAACATTTCTTTATAAAAATGTCTCTATTGAACTTCGATACTGAGATTATGAAGATTCATTTCAATTTCTTTCACATTTCCGTCGATTTCAAGTTTTAAAAAAGGTCAAACAACTAGTTTGGTTCAAAAATCATACTTCGTCGCATTATCTGGCAGAGCCTTCCCAACTTCATTTCAATCTTCCCATCACACCGCGCGCGCTCACTTTTAGTCAGGAAACTTCATGTAAGTTATTTGTAAATACTTAAGGAGACTCTGCGGAGGAGAGAGAAAGAAAGGCCATTCTCTAGCGAATTCAGACGATGGTTTCCTTTGCTTTCCATACATAGTGCCCATAATTATTTGTGGCACCAAAATCAATTACTTCTTAGCATGACGCAATATTTTTGCATGACTGTAAGAATTGAATGTACGAGGTGTGCAATTAATCAAGGTTAACAACCAGGTTAACGAATGCTTCGCGTTAGCGTATAATGTGACCAAGACCAAAAAGTGTTGCCAGAGACTTTTCACACGAGTCCATAGCGAAAATCGGACCCACAATCTCAGAAGTGAAAGGCGCTTGCGCCCCCACCAAAATCATAAAAAGCTGGTTGCCAACAGAAACAAATCTTATTCGCGGTATGAAAAGTTGCCTAATTACGACAGTAAGACAATCACATTTTACCTGTATTGAATATATACAGTTCGTTACTACAGCTGTCTGGTTGCGGATCAGGATTGGGAAAAACTCCACCAAACACAAGAAGTTCTCGTTGGAATAACACCGATGTGTGGTAGGCTCGCTTTGGAGCATTGCCAACCGCCTGCGAACACGAATGAAAAAAATATAGGTAAAGCAAACGGATGTAGTCATATAGGTATTAAAAAACTGATAGTTAACAAGGAGTCTGGAAGCAAGTCGAGCTACAAAGAAGCACAACAGGCAAGGTCGGTCCAGTGGAACTCAAAACTACAGACTGGATCCCATCATCAACCATTTGTAATGTATGAATAAGACAATGGTGGCCGTATTGGAGTAACATATTCATGACCAGAAATCACGGACATAATTATTCTGCTTCCTTGCTACTTTGCATATCATCGAGGCATATCCCGTTGAAATACATCCTCATCCCCAGGGCATCTCGGGCGCGCGCATCCTCCCTTGGCCCTGGGACAAACGGAACCTAGAGCCTAATTTTGAAATATGGCTTCTGCAGTAAACAGTAAATTACTTGCGATGCTGTAAATCGCAAAATCGGAGAATACGATAGGTCGTTTGCAATGTGCCTCAATTGCTAGTTGCGGAACAAAGTTTGTAGAAATATTTGGAGTGATGTTTGTCTGGGGTAAGCATAACTGCCTATTCTGCATTTTCGTTTGTCACAGCTGGCAGTAGTACGGTACTTTTCTGTACAGTTCAATAGACAAATGTCGTAAAACTAACAGCTGTACAAATAGTTAAAGTGCAGAATAGGTAGTAACTGAAATCAGGCCCACATTACACTAAACACTTCGACTGACTTTATGTTGCTAAATCCCCACCAGAAGCGCATACAATTAGATTTCAATCTATAAATTCATTATACAACATGGCTCAGTTAATAGAAGAACCAACCAGGGTTGTGAGAACATCTGCTACTATAATTGACCTTATTCTGACAAATGTTCTTAAACACTTTTCTGAAACAGAATTTATATCCGACCTAACCAATATTCCTTGGCAAACTGTTTTCACAACAAGTGATCCAAACTTGAGTTGGAATAAGTGGAAGGAACTATTTATCGGAACACTAGATAAACATGCTCCTGTTAGACATATAAGATCAGGGAAACACACCACTCCGTGGATGACAGCGGAAATAAGGTCAGCTATGAGAAGAAGAGGCTACCATAAGAAAAAGGCCATAAAATTGAAATCTGATTCACATTGGCATAATTATAAGAGTTTGCGTAATGAAGTTAATAAACTAATACGTGAGACAAAATCTACTTTCTATATCAACAAAATATCTGAATGTGCAGAAACTAAGGATTTAAAAAAATGCTCTTCCGATCTCTACAATAAATTCCCTGCTAGGGAAACAAAATAAATCCAATTATATTAGTGAGCTCAAAGTTGGTGAAAATGTCATCACAGACCCTAATCTCATTGCGGAGCATTTTAATACACACTTCATCAACATTGGAGTGTACCCTGATGAAAATGATACGCGAAACGAATGTGGAGAAAATCTTAATTTCTCTGACACAAACATCCATTCCCAAACTAATAATAAATTTAGTTTTTCTCTCATTAAGGTTGATAGTGTCCTCTGTAATTTGAAACACCTCAAAGCAAATAAATCCACTGGCCTAGATGCCATCCCAGCGAAAATACTAAAACTAGCTGCCCATATTATTGCCCCTTCCTTAACGTATATTTTTAATTCATCTCTTCAAAGCGGTATTCATGTTAACGATTGGAAACGAGCTCGAGTAATTCCTATTTTCAAATCTGAAGATAAAAGTAAATGTGAAAATTATAGACCCATTTCTATTTTATCAATTGTAAGTAAAGTCTTTGAAAAAGAAGTGTTTAGGCAAGTGTATACGTACGTGAATGAAAGTAATCTTCTCTCAAAGTATCAATCTGGCTTTCGGCCACAACACTCAACCTTATCAGCCCTCATTAAAATATGTGACGAAATCTTAAATAACATGGACGAGGGAAAAATAAACTGTATAGTATTTTTAGACATACGGAAAGCTTTTGATTCAATAAATCACAATATTTTATTAAGTAAAATGAGATCCAACTTTGGCATTAGCGGTAATGAATTACTCTGGTTTGAATCATACCTAACGAATAGGGAACAACAATGCGTAGCTAATGGATACTATCCTCCGTTGGAAAATTAAAATGTGGGGTCCCCCAGGGGTCGATCCTGGGGCCGTTGTTATTTTTGCTCTACATCAATGACCTACCACAATGTCTCCAAAAAACCACGCCGGGTCTTTATGCTGATGACACGGAAATTTACGCGTCATCACACAATGTAAATGATCTTATTGATAACATAAATTATGACCTAAATATTGTTACGCAATGGATGGAGAATAATAAGCTACAAATTCATCCTAAGAAATCTAAATGTATGTTTATTGCATCCCCTTA